CAACTAAGAAAAGCCCAGGACCAGAAAGATTCACAGCCAAATTCTACCAGAGGTAAAAATAGGAACTGGTACCATTCCTTCTGAAACTATTCCAAGCAACACAAAAAGAGGGAATCCTCCCCAACTCATTTTATGAGACCAACATCATCCTAATACCAAAACCAGGCAGAGATGCAACTGAAAAAAAAAACTTCAGGCCAATATCCATGATGAACATCAACGCAAAAATCTTCAATAAAATACTGGCAAGCATAATGCAACGGCAAATCAAAAAGCTTATTCATCATGATCAAGTAGGCTTCATCCTGGGGATGCAAGGCTGGCTCAACATACACAAGTCTATAAATGTAATCCATCACATAAACAGAACCAAAGACAAAAATCACATGATTATCTCAACAGATGCAGAAAAGGCCTTCAACAAAATCAACAGCCCTTCATGCTAAAAACTCTCAATAAACTAGGCATCAATGGTACGTATCACAAAATAATAAAAGCTATTTTATTATGAAAAACCCACAGCCAATATCATACTGAAAGGGCAAAAACTAGAAGAATTCCCTTTGAAATCTGGCACAAGACAAGGATGCCCTCTCTCACCACTCCTATTCAATATAGTACTGGAAGTTCTAGCCAGGGCAATAAGGGAAGAGAAAGAAATAAAGGGTATTCAAATAGGAAGAGAGGAAGTCAAATTGTCTCTATTTGCAGATGACATGATTGTATATTTAGAAGACCCCATCATCTCAGCCCAAAACCTCCTGAAACTGATAAGCAACTTCACTAAAGTCTCAGGATACAAAATCAATGTGCAGAAATCACAAGCATTTCTATACACCAATAACAGACAGAGAGCTAAATCAAAAGTGAACTCCCATTAACAATTGCTACAAAGAGAATAACATACCTAGAAATACAACTAACAAAGGATGTAAAGAACCTCTTCAAGGAGAACTACAGACTACTGCTCAATGAAATAAGAGAAGACACAAACAGATGGAAAAATATTCCATGCTCATGGTTGGGAAGAATCAACATCATGAAAATGGCCATACTGCCCAAAGTAATTTACAGATTCAATGTTATCCCCATCAAGCTACCAATGACCTTCTTCACAGAACTGGAAAAAAACACTTCAAACTCCATATGGAATCAAAAGAGAGCCCACATAGCCAAAGCAATACTAAGCAAAAAGAACAGGAGGCATCATGCTGCCTGACTTCAAATTATACTACAAGGTCACAGTAATCAAAACTGCATGGTACCAAAACAGAGACAAAGACCAATGGAACAGAACAGAGGCCTCAGAAGAAACACCACACATCTACAATCATCTGATCTTTGACAAACCTGAGAAAAACAAGCAATGGGGAAAGGATTCCCTGTTTAATAAATGGTGTTGGGAAAACTGGCTAGCCATGTGCAGAAAGCAGAAACTAGACCCCTTCCTGACACCTTACACTNTGATTCAAAGAGATGCTTGTGGTGATATAATTTGTAATAGCAAAACTTTATAAATTGAGGTCTTTAACATCATGGGAATTATTAAGTAAACTACAGATTATCAAACAACCACTCCTGAAGGAAAATCATAAAGTCATTAAAAAGTAAGAACAGAGGCATCAGAAGCAACATCACACATCTACAATCATCTGATCTTTGACAAACCTGAGAAAAACAAGCAATGGGGAAAGGATTCCCTGTTTAATAAATGGTGTTGGGAAAACTGGCTAGCCATGTGCAGAAAGCAGAAACTAGACCCCTTCCTGACACCTTACACTAAAATTAACTCCAGATGGATTAAAGATTTAAACATAAGACCTAACACCATAAAAACCCTAGAAGAAAACCTAGGCAAAACCATTCAGTACATAGGCATACACAAGAACTTCATGGCTAAAACACCAAAAGCAATGGCAACAAAAGCCAAAATAGACAAATGGGATCCAATTAAACTCCAGAGCTTCTGTACAGCCAAGGATACTATCATTAGAGTGAACGGGCAACCAACAGAATGGGAAAAACTTTTTGCAATCTACCCATCTGACAAAGGGCTAATATCCAGAATCTACAAAGAGCTAAAACAGATTTACAAGAAAAAAACAAACAAATGCATTCAAAAGTGGGCAAAGGATATGAACACATACTTTACAAAAGGAGACATTGACGATGCTAACAAACATATGAAAAAATGCTCATCATCACTGGTCATTACAGAAATGCAAATCAAAACCTCATTAAGATACCATCTCACGCCAGTTAGAATGGCGATCACTAAAAATTCTGGAGACAATAGATGCTGGGGAGGATGTGGAGAAATAGGAATGCTTTCACACTGTTGGTGGGAGTGTAAATTAATTCAACCATTGTGGAAGACAGTGTGGCGATTCCTCAAGGACCTAGAAATAGAAATACAATTTGATCCAGCAACTCCATTATTGGGTATATACCCAAAGAATTATAAATTGTTCTATTTAAAGACACATGCACACATATGTTCACTGTGGCACTCTTTACAATAGCAAAGACTTGGAACCAACCCAATGCCCATCATTGATAGACTGGATAAAAAAAATGCAGCACATATATACCATGGAATACTACGCAGCCATAAAAAATTATGAGTTCGTGTCCTTCATAGTGACATGGTTGAATCCAAACCATCATTATCAACAAACTGACACAAGAACAGAAAACCAAACACCCTATGTTATCACACATAGGTGGGTGTTGAGCAATTAAAACATATGGACAAAGGGAGGGGAGCATCACACACTGCAGTCAATTGGAGGGGGCTAAGGGAGGGACAGCGGGGGTAGGGTGGGGAGGGGTAACGAGGGGAGAAATACCAGATATAGGTGATGGGGGGATGAAGGCAGCAAACCACCTTGCCATGTATGTACCTATGCAACAATCCTGCATGATCTGCACATGTACCCCGGAACCTAAATTGCAATAGAAAAAAAAACCTTTTCGTAATATTCAAATTAATTAGCACTTTCCCCATTTCACTCGGGGGCTTGTCCTTTGGTTATATTCTCTGGGCAATGAATCCAAAGACTCAGTTTTCCCAGACTGCCAGCAGGTGTCACTGTTGAAAATAGGTGGTCACCCTGTGTGATGTCATTCCTACTGCCATGATGTGGAGACACCAGGTTATGGGGGGAAGCTGTGGCTTCTAAGGGCTTAGACAAAACCAAGAGGAATGAGCTGGTACTCGTTACATTTGCATTGCCACAGAGCTGTTATTCTTAATCTTGTGCTCAGAACTGGAAACACTGGGTCTGAAGACTTTTCTTAGGCTCAGCTGTATGCTGCTTCCAGGCTTTGATTTTGACTTTTCATCCCTGGTTCTCCTTCTGCCATCTGTCATGGTCTGTCTTGAGCTAAATTTTTTAATTTTTTGTAGAGATGAGGTCTCACTGTGTTGCCCAGGCTGGTTTTGAACTACTGGGCTTGACAAGTCTTATTCCCTTTGCGCCACATAAGTTCCTTTGAGTGTTAAAAATGCACATGAAGTTCTAACCTTCCCCTGCTATTTGTCTCCCATCCACAGGATTAAAAGAGAATACTTAAGTAATTCTTTACAGAACCCAGAAAGTTTGTCCAAAATGACTTTGGTCTCTCCCAGAAGACATAGAAGTTGCTGGAAACTTTTTAGTAGCAATGTCTTTTGCTATTTCTACTCTTTTGTCTAATATATGTAAAGATTTCTTTAGAAATATACATATACATGATCTTATCTCATTCATACCATACATCATTATTTTATCTCATCTCATTCATAATATAACTATGAATATGCTTTGAGATGAAAAGAGATATTTTTTGTTGTTCCTCTTTCTCTACTTCAAGAAGAGCTACTAGCTAGGTATGATGGGGCATGCACCTGTAGTCCCAGCTACTCGGAAGGCTGAGATTGGAGTATTGCTTGAGCTCGGAAGTTCAGTGCTGTAGTGAGCTATGATCATGCCACTGCATTGCTGCTTGGGTGCCAGAGCAAGACTTTGTCTCTTAAAAAAAAAAAAAAAAAAGAAGTAGAACTACTAAGTGAGGTTCAGCCAGGACTAGCTATGTGTTTTCATGAGGCCCAGTACAAAATGAAAATGTAGAGCCCCTTGTTAGAAAGTTATTAAGAATTTCAAGAGGTCACATAAGAGCATTAAATTAAGCATGGCTTCTTCAAAGCTCAGCTCCCTGTATGACTGCACAATCTGCATGCCTATGCAGTGGTCCTAGGCAGAGCCGACCGAGATCACACAGAGCACTCTAACTTTTATCCACGAAGGACCTGGGTTTCTTCTAATGACCAGGGTTATATTTAATCTACATCTGGGGTATCTTGCCTCCCAAGGCTGTTCCATCACAGCAACATGAACTTTCACATTTCAAAAGGAAAGACAAAAAGGTAGCCTTTAAACACGAGTAGCTTTAAACCAGTGGCATCTGAGAAGATTTTGGCATAATCATGTGAATTATTTACAAAGATAATAATTATGCTCGATTTCTTCAGAACTAAGAGGATTAATGAGATATGTACTTTTAATCACATTTATGCAAAGGAAAAAGAGGAAGGCAAAGGGAAGGCCTCAGTGATTAGCATTTGAGACAAAATATACACTGACTGTCTCAGATCTTTCTGAAATGATGAAGGACACATATCTTATTTTTTTCTGCTTGAATCAGAGATCCCATCCATGTGTGGTTGAGATCAGGCTCCTTAGGACCCTCCATAACTCAAGGGCTCAGATTTGCTTTCACAGCCTTTATGTAATAGCAGACCTAGAGCCTTAAATGATGTAGGTGATAAAAACTTAGGTAAGCGGAGACTCCTGGGAGGATGAAGGAGTGATTTAAGCTCATTGAGCTGTTAAACTTTTGAACAACAAGAATTTTGTTTCTGTTTCTGTTTTTTTCTCTTTCAGATTCAACCCCCTTGAGACTAATTGTTAAGTTATAAATCAGCACAATTCACATAGTTTGAGTCTTCTCGTTCCATATAAACATTCAGAATATTTAGAGAAGAAGCAAAGAAAAAAGTTCCTCCAGTAAAGACTTAACAATGGAATCTTCTGCAGTACGACAGGTATGTGGAAGATGTAGGATATGAAACAAAGATCTGTGTTTTCTCTTCCTTGAGGTTTTCTTAAGAAATAAATTGCCACCCTAATAATGCAGTAGATTGCTGGTGCATTGGGTCTTCCTTTTTGAATTTTGGTCATGTTTACAGAGAATGTTTAGGCATGTGGAAGATTGAAGAAGGTGCAGGACTTAATATGAATTTGTAATAAAAGGCAGTCATTTTAATATGTGAATGAAATAACATGCTGCCTTCTGGCAGCGTAACATGTTTACTGGGAAGAATACTTAGAATCCTGGGAAAGGTTACCTCCTTATAAGTGGCTGAACAAATTATTTATCACTGTCAAGTATTTAAACTGTCTTAAGTATTAAGTATTAAGATAGTTACCTGGCCTTTTCCTTACAATCCCATTTCCTTTCTTTCTTAGGAGAAATCTTTTCTAGTCAAATGTATCCTTGAATGTGGTGATTATTAGCAACAAGGAAGGAAAAAGGGAAGGAAGGAAAGAGGGAGGGAAAGTAACTTTTGATAGTGTGCTACGTATCAGGCATTATGCTAAGGTTATTCATAAGGCTATTCATATTATATGTTACACTATTCACTTAATATGTTGAGTCATTGACATTAAATATTTGATAGAAATCGAACAATTGAAAGAAATCAATAGTTTGGGTAAGGGCAAAATAATTCAAGGAAATGAGAAATAATGATTACCTGGCAGAAAGACATAGTAAAGTCCATTAAGTCTTAAAAGTAGCTACTAAAGCAGAGGAATATTTATTTACTAATGAAGCGTTAATCAAATGTAAAGACGAGGCAAAATTAAAAGGCATCACATTAGAAATATCAGAAAATTATTCTTCCTCCTCCCTACCCCTAAAAAAAGAAAAAATAATAATAATAATAAATTAGAAAAAATAGAAAATTCTTTATTATTGTGGTCATGGTCTTGCAGTTTGATCACTTTCTCAGGCAATATAGAAAACACTTTTAACAATTTAGTAGAATAAAGTTTATGCTTTATTCATAAGCAGAATGGGCAAATGATTCATTATATTACAAACCTTCATTTTTTTATGTCTGAGCTTCTTTTAGAAACTTAACAGTAATGGCAAAAAGATCTGACTTTCCATTTAACTCTATCACAATCCATCCATGTATCTAAGGATGCTTACGTTAACAGGTTTAAAAAAAATAGAAAAAGTGACCCTTGAAAACTATAGCCTTCAAAATACTACTTTTGCATTTAGCTTTCCATAGATATGAAAGATATGGTTCTTGAAAGGTTTAAGCTGATTATAGATGTCACATGCAAGAACTATGTCAAATAAATTATGGGGGCCGTAATATTTAAATGGAATTAAAATTATTATTTGATGAATTCATCAAATAATCATCTGATATACCTCTCTATACTTTGTGGCATGCATATGAGGAATTTATGTGTGAATGTAGATATTATATTATTTGTTTCAAAGAACTTCAGTACTAAGATAATTGTGTAATTAAAGTCTCTGACTGTTAAAAGGAAAATTAGTCAAGCCCTGCAGTTTATGATTTTAGACTTAGAAGGATTCAGCATGATTTTAACAACAGTGGATGGCAAGATGATTAACAACATCAAAGTCATTAAGCCAGGAACACAATGAAATTTGGGAACCATTGAATCTTAAAATGTACTGTAGTTGGAACAGGAAACCAAACACCATAGGTTCTCATTCATAAGTGGGAGTTGAACAAGAACACATGGACACAGGGAGGGGAACATCAGGGCCTGTCGGGGGTGGGGGAGGAGGGTGGTGGGAGGCAAGGGGAGGAAGAACATTAGGACAAATACCTAATGTATGCAGGGCTTAAAGCCAAGATGATGGGTTGATGGGTGCAGCAAACCATGATGGCACATGTATACCTATGTAACAAACCTGTATGTTCTGTACATGTATCTTAGAACTTAAAGTAAAAGAAAGAAAATGCTATTGTGAAAATGCCTTTAGCACAAGAATGTTGTATGTGTGTTAAAAGGACATTATTTATTACTTGTTATTTCTTTTAGCTTCACTTTGCAAAAAGTAAAGTGATTTAAAAATAAACCAAAAAAATTTGCTTTGGATCTCCTATGCTTTTAAATGAGCATACTGAAGGTGATCAGAAATCCTTTTTTCTTTTTGATAATACTGCATTTTCTCTCAGTATTTTCTTCTATGGTGATGTCTAACTGGTCAGTAGGTGGGTAACAAAAAAGGACAAGTATCTAAAAAATGTAGTACCAAGAGAGAGGAAAATCTCTCACTTCTCTCTTTTTTTTCTCTCTGTTTTCTTTTCTTCTCTTTTCTTTTTTTCTGTGACAATGTTAGGAAGAGCAAAATGCTATATGTATGTATTAGAAACCCTTACTTTTTAATGTGTCTTTTTAAAATTTTTATTTTCATGTTTTTAAACTTTTGTTTTAAGTTGGGGGGTTACATGTGAAGGTTTGTTACATAGGTAAACTCCTGTCATGAGGGTTTGTTGTACAGATGATTTCATCACCCAGGTATTAAGCTCAGTACCCAGTAGTTATCTGTTCTGCTCCTCTCCCTCCTCCTGCCCTCCCCCACCAAGTAGACCCCAGTGTCCGTCCTTTCCTTCTTTATGTTCATAAGTTCTCATCGTTTAGCTTCTACATATAAGTGACAGCATGCAGTATTTGGTTAGAAACCCCAATTTTAGCTGCTAAAAATGAATATAGTTAAAGAAATGGTTGTACACATTTTAGACAGATCTGGATAAAACTGTTCTGATGAAACCCTTTCATGAATAAGTCAGCTGTCTCTGCTAACAGCATTTAGGATGTGGGCAGAGATCTCAAATGCATTTTGGTAGTGTTTCTATTTTGTGGTATGCAGTCAGTCACCTAGGTAAGAGGTATGAAGATCTTTAGTTCTATTGCTCAAATATGTCCCGTCACATATCAGGCGATTCGTTCTCTGCAAGTGGGGATGAGGCTGGCAAGGAGAAAGAATAAGGAGGAGAAAACTGCCTTGGACTCACCACTTGGCATTGTTTGGAGAAAGCTTTTAATTTCAAATCTGTACTCACTCTCTTTTAGCTCACTTGATTAATTAAAAAAATCATTACCCAAATTTAAGAACAAAGTGGGAAATCTCTTTTGACTAATGTTAGCCAAGAACACTTTTCCTGTCGAGGAACGATAATGAAACTAGAAAGTCTGTCTTCTCTCATTCTATTCTCCGCCCCCCGCCGTCATCTTTTCTCTGCTGTGTTTTAGGGGTCCCTGAGAATTCCTTTTAGAAGGTCTCAAAACACATACAGCTGTATGTCTTTTCTTTATTCTACGTTCCATGTAGAACAGGACTTTTCTCTTCTGTTCAAATTCTTCTCACCCATTGAGACCCAGATCAAAAGTCATATCCTCGCTGCAATATTCCTGTGCAGCCCAACCTGAAACTATCTTGTCCATTTTTGATCTTTGATTGTACATTTTGCCTGGATCTGGTTTTGGTCAGGTAATCACCACTATTGCTTTCATCTGCAATGCAGAATCATTTAGGCTTTGTTTTTTTTTGAGACAGAGTCTCACTCTGCTCCCAGGCTGGAGTGCAGTGGCACAATCTCGGCTCACTGCAACCTCCGCCTCTCGGGTTCAAGCAATTCCCCTGCCTCAGCTTCCCGAGTAGCTGATACTACAGGCACTCACAGCCACATTCAGCTAATTTTTGTGTATTTAGTAGAGACAAGGTTTCACCATCTTGGCCAGGCTGATCTTGAACTCCTGACCTTGTTATCCGCCTGCTTTGGCCTCCCAAAGTGCTGGGATTACAGGCATGAGCCACCATGCTTGGCCAGAATCATTTAGGTTTTAAGTGTTGATGGGCTTTGTTTCTTCAGCTGCATTGTAGAATCTCTGCTGCCAGGGTTTATCTTCATGCTTTCTTCTTCCTTTCCTTGTATCTTGCATATTGCGGGCATTCAAGAAAAAATATCTTGTTCTATTTGTGATGTGCTCTTATAAGGGTTGAGAATTTATTGGTTTATCTGTTGGTAACTGATAAGTCTGATATGCATGAGGTCACTGAAGGCCAAAGGCATTTCTGCAATATTGAGTTATGCTTTGCATATAGGCAGCTCTTTTTTTCTTAACTTACCTTTTAAAAAGAAAGTAATTCTAATTTATGAACATGTTACATTTCAAAAATATATTAAAGAATAACATGCAGATTTTAATATGCAAAATGAGCATTTTGGGCCAACTCAAGGAGGGCATATGCTTAATTTTCTTGTAGTGGAGATGGCTTGCTTTCTAAAAGCTCTCTAGCCCTCTGCTCATTTGTGTGGCCTGCACATGGAAAGTTGTCAGGCTGCCATTGCACAGGGCTCTGAGAAGGTGCACTTTGCTCGTCACAAGGAACTCAGGGTTTGTCCAGCTTTGGCAGCTTTGGTCTCCACCCACCCCTGACTTAACTGCTCTGGCTGATGTGATGCTTGTTAAGATTTCACGATTTGCTGAAGAGATTGACTCTACCAGATAATTAGGGGTCATTAAATGATTCTTCCCCCTTAAAACAACATTGGCATGAATAAAACAAACAAAGCACAGTGAAAATAATAGAACACATGAATGAAACTATTTTCAAATAATAACCTCCTGATCTCACATATAAGAGACCACAATCAAATCAAATCTGATTATATATTTCCAACTCCTTGGAGGAAGAAGTGCATGTGTTGTCTGATAAATATCTATTCTTCCCACACGCAGGAAGATGAGTAAGAGTTAGCTCAATCATCTTTTTTTTCTTCTTTTAAATTTCAAAGCCTGGCATAAAGTAAGAGTTTCCTAAATGTTGGTAGTATAGAAGAAAGTATGGAGTAAATAATGTTGTTTTTTTAAATTGAGATGGAGTCTCACTCTGTCTCCCAAGCTGGAGTACAGTGGCAAGATCCTGGCTCACTGCAACCTCCATCTCCTGGGTTCCAGTGATTCTCCTGCCTCAGCCTGCTGATCATCCTGGCTAATTTTTGTATTTTTAGTAGAGATGGGGTTTCACCATGTTGGCCAGGCTGGTCTCAAATTCGTGACCTTAGGTGATCCACCCGCCTCGGCCTCCCAAAGTTCTGGGATTACAGCATGAGCCACCATGCCTGGCTAATAACAATCTTTTAAGCCAATTAGGTCAGAATTCTAAAAAATTACAAATAAAGGTTAAAATAAATGAATGGGAAAGATCATGAGTAATATTGCAGCATAAATTATCTTCCTGGATTCTTCTCAGCTTTTCTTGAGTTTTTCTATGAAAGCATGTATAAAACATAGAATATTTTATTTATATTCTGACAAAATTTCACCTGCTCTTTTTTTTTTTTTTGAAGGAAACATTCGATTGCTCTGAATATGGAAATAGATCTTGCCCAGAAAATGAAAGGTCTCTGGGTGTCCGAGTGGCTATGTATTCATTTATGGCAGGAGCCATATTCATCACAATATTTGGCAATCTTGCCATGATAATTTCCATTTCCTACTTCAGGCAGCTTCACACACCAACCAACTTCCTCATCCTCTCCATGGCCATCACTGATTTCCTCCTGGGATTCACCATCATGCCATATAGTATGATCAGATCGGTGGAGAACTGCTGGTATTTTGGGCTTACATTTTGCAAGATTCATTATAGTTTTGACCTGATGCTTAGCATAACGTCCATTTTCCATCTTTGCTCAGTGGCCATTGACAGATTTTATGCCATCTGTTACCCATTACGCTATTCCACCAAAATAACTATTCCAGTCATTAAAAGATTGCTACTTCTCTGCTGGTCGGTCCCTGGAGCATTTGCCTTTGGGGTGGTCTTCTCAGAGGCCTATGCAGATGGAATAGAGGGCTATGATATCTTGGTTGCTTGCTCCAATTCCTGCCCAGTGATGTTCAACAAGCTATGGGGGACCACCTTGTTTATGGCAGGTTTCTTCACTCCTGGGTCTATGATGGTGGGGATTTATGGCAAAATTTTTGCAGTATCCAGGAAATATGCTCATGCCATCAATAAATTGCCAGAAAATCAAAATAATCAAGTGAAGAAAGACAAAAAAGCTGCCAAAACTTTAGGAATAGTGATGGGTGTTTTCTTATTATGTTGGTTTCCTTGTTTCTTCACAATTTTATTGGATCCCTTTCTGAACTTCTCTACTCCTGTAGTTTTGTTTGATGCCTTGACATGGTTTGGCTATTTTAACTCCACATGTAATCCCTTAATATATGGCTTCTTCTATCCCTGGTTTCGCAGAGCACTGAAGTACATTTTGCTAGGTAAAATTTTCAGCTCACGTTTCCATAGTACAAATTTGTGTATACAGAAAGAAAGTGAGTAGATTTATTCTGCATGAATAAATTGAAGCAAAAAGACTAGAACTTAGAAGAATGAAGTTGTTTAAAATGTGCGTTTGTGTGCACGTGTGTATTATTTTAGCTATCATAGAAAGTTCTTGGTTTCTAAGATAAGATAAAAAAAAAAGGAAGCTTCTCTTTGAGCCAAAAATCCCTCCAATAGTTTTCAGAATTCTTTACACACCCATTACTTCCTGGTAGAGAGAAAACAAAAGAAAATCAGAAAAGCATAGAGAACATGGGGGAAAGCCAGAGATGGAAAGGGTAAGACACACAAAAGCTTTTATAATGTTCAAAAGGGATCAAAACATAGGCTGAGCTTGAGAACTGCTTGTGCCTCTCCCCACCACAGACGATTTGTGTGATATTCCCATTCCTATTTGTTCCTCAGTGCCTTATCAGATGTACTTTGAAACATCAACAACTAAAAATGGTAGGTAAGTAAATATAGAAATAACAATTTTAAAAACCCGTATTCTTCCAGGAATCAGTTATATGTTAGCTGAGAGTTAAGGCTGTACTAGATTCTGCTGTTGTGAGAACAAATGTTTCTTAGCCAAAAGAAGAAATAGCAAACTGAGTAACTGGGGCCATGGGCTCCAGGTGGGTTTTCATTCAGGAGCCATCTAAATCAGAACAGATGATTTCCATGTTACTTGCAGTAGAACTCTGTTCAGTGTCCTCCTTTCCTCTATAGGCTCATCCACATTCTGTGTTGCTATTTGGTGTTCTGGTGTTTAATAAATGTGGAATACCTACTAAAAAAGTTTTGTTTTGAATCCATCATTCTTTTTTGCTTGATATTTACCCTTTTTTTTTTTGGAGATGGAGTCTCGCTCTGTCACCCAGGCTGGAGTGCTATAGCATGATCTCGGCTCACTGCAACCTCTGCCTCCCAGTGGGTTCAAGCAATTCTCTCAGCTTCCCGAGTAGCTGAGACTACAGGCATCTGCCACCAAGCCCGGCTAATTTTTGTATTTTTATTAGAGACAGGGTTTCACCATACTGGTCAGGCTGGTCTCAAACTCCTGACCTCATGATCCACCCGCCTTGGCCACCCAAAGTGCTAGGATTACAGGCATGAGCCACCACACCTGGCCTATACATATGTTTTTTAATAACAGAGGAGTGGGAGGGAGAAATAAAGAAGAAAATTATTAACTTTAGGTTGAGAATCATTAATAACAGATGGGCTGTGACCAGTGATGTGTTGGTGTAAGTTCGACACTGGACTCTAAAACAACAGTCCTAATTTGTAGAGTTTGATGATTTCCATGGTATAGAAATTTAATAAATCTTCCCTTATAAGTGATTTCAACCTATAAATGTAATGTCAACTGGCTTTCAAAAGTTGTGAAAAGTTAACAAACTATTTTTGAAAATAATCACAGGTAGTTCCAGTATATCACTGGCTGCAAACAACATTTTTAATGAAAAGCAAATTAGAATAGAAGACAATAGGTAATATCAAAATACATTGCTTGCACCGAGGCTAAGTATAGCCTCATGAAGTTTTATTTTCAGATATGTCTCTGTGTGTGTGTGTGTGTGTGTTTATATATGGTAGTAAACTGTGTTTCACTGAAATATTCCTTGTTTTAATTTCTTCATTTACATTATAGCAATGAAAATTGTGAGTTTTCAAGAAGAGAGTAGTTATATCAGGTACAGTTATGAAAGCAAATTTGTCAATGCCTTTTCAATGAACTTTTACTTTCAAAATGTAATCACCCTGCTGTGTTCCAGTGGGGATGACAGATTCGTTGAGCACCCTGTATGCTTGCTGCCTTCCACCATTCACTCTGCCTTCATTTCCCAGGATTAGTAAAGTCATGTCCTTCAATATCCAGAATTTTATAGTAAGCTACAGATGAGAAAACTGAGCCTGGGGGATTTAGTGGTTTACCCTAGATTACACAACCAGTTATAAGCACAGGACAAGAGCCCAGCTCTCTTGACTTCTTATTCTGTGTTATTTTTTACTAAACTTTTTTTTCAGATTTGTGTCATTTTAACTGGACTTTTTTTAAAATAAAGATTTTCAAAATTCAAACTTGTACAAATCACTGAAGTAAGAGTAAAAACTCTCTCCCACCCCAATATCTTCTCATTCAGGAATCAATACATTCAGGAATCAAAGTGTAATCAGAAACCTTTGCTGATTCAGGCAATTATTCCTTCCTTGGATATTAGCCAGCATTTAATTGAGCCCACATGTCTGTGTATTTTCAATATATAGAAACTTTTGTACCTAATCTTTCTAGAATGACCATGAAATAACATATAAAATTGTCTTTTATTTGGGGAAAATAAAACTGAGCCATTAAAAACAAATAGGATATTTCAATATCCCTTAAGAAAGTTAAAAGAGCAAAAGAGCTACCCCACTGGGATCCACAGTTAGTGCCTGTCTGGAAGCTCATGGATCTGAGTTCTCTACTCCAATTCTCTTGACAGCAGAAGCAAACTTATATATGAATCAGATATCTTAACACTCTACACTAAACTTTCCAGAATTTCCTGATATCATACCTGCAAAGCCACCAGAAGAAGGTCAATGATTCACAACTAACTTTTCAGGAAAGGAAAGGTACCAGGTCAATCAAAAGAATTGGAAATGTTCTATTATTTTTAAATTATTGCTGATTTATTCTCTTCTTCAAAATAATTGAATAGTGATAGCTGTATTTTATAAAGAATCAGAAATTGTTGAAATGGGTTGCAACTGAGAACATAGGTTTTAACTAAAATATAATTATTGTGATATTCTAGTGAAAGAAAGGTCTTAAATTTTCCATCAAAATTCATTTGACAAGGTTGGTAAATTTCTATATAGTGGCATATAAAATACTTTTGCAAAGTATAAGAACTATGCAAGACATGATTCAGTAAATATAGTTAGGTATTTCAATGATGCCAAAATGTACTTTCCTCTTCAGCATTATATATCAATAATAAAAATACTTGTTACATACTGCTTAAATCCGATACTACGTATTTTATTTTTATATCCCCTTGCAAGAAGTATTTACTTCTTAAGTAAAGATAGCAAGATATTCACTTGCTTTCTGTTTCTCAAAACTATTCTCTCATTTCAGATACAAGGAGTGCACAAACTGAAAATGCAGTCTCTCTAGAACAGTTCTTCTCAAATTCAGTGGGCATAAAAATAACATAGGTATCTTGCTAATATGTACAGAGAGGGTTTATTAGCTATCTTATAAATAACATTTGCCATTTTCCTAGTATTTTAATCTTTCCCAAACCACATGTCTCTAATACCATGAGATAAGACGCCTGTCCATTAACTAGGTTTTCATAATGTGTTAGAATGAACTTCTTTCCACTTAATTCAACAAGCAGTTACTGGTAACCTGCCATGCATATGGCTCTGTGTTAAGTGTTGCAAGGGTTAGCAGGTTAATTGGATGTTGTCTCACTTCCCAAGTAATTTAAAGTTAGGAGAAGGCAATGTACTAGAAGAAGAAAACATTGGTATTTGAAATCATGGTCACCTGTAAGATAAGGGAGTGGAACCACCTGTCCAGAGAACTTCGGCCAGCCTGATGGTCTGTAGTTAGATTAACTTCAACTGAGAGAGTCTTCTGGATGGAAATGATATTTGTGCTGAGCCCTGAAGTAGTTAGAGATAAAGGAATGGCAATTGGATGGAGGAAAGGGAGTTGTCCAAGCATTGGAGTGGGCACTTGTATGACAACAAAGGGACTACAATGGCTAAAGGTGGCTGAAGTAATGCAGACTGAAGGGAGAACAGGCTGCAGCCAGGGTTTCCCTGAAAACACAGGCTGAAAAGACACACTTATCACATACATGCAAGACCGTGGTCTGTTGTTCTAGCCAAGGTGTGTTTTCCCAGACTCTTTTCCTTTTATCTACCAAAAAAAAGCAAACATAGTCTTGGTGAAAGATTTATTTAGAATAATTCCTCTTGCCCACCCCTCTACCAACGGATTCTCTGATATTTTGTTTTAGTAGAGATTCTTCTTTTCTGCTAGTTTTTGCATAATGCTATGGCTTATAGCTAATTATAACACAAACATTTTGGTTTTCATTTTCACTCTCCTTTCTTCCCTTTCTCTCTGAAATAGAAGTTGCTCTTCCTGTTCTGTGTGTGTATTTTCTGTCAATTAAAATGTTTTTCCTATTCCCAGCTACTTTTTAGAAGAAAATATTTTCAAGGCATCATCTCTGCCCATTGCCAAGTGCCATGTGCTTTTGTAAGACTTACTGGTGAACTGTGAGTGATTTAGGATAAATACGTCATTTATATGATAGATAATATGTGTACTTTTTGACATTAGGATGTATAAACTACTATATATCATTATAAAGTAGATTTATAAGAGAAATATTTGCCTTCTCTTTATCTTCAGTTTTAGTGTTACCTTTGAATATAGTCTACTTATTGTAAATCCTGAAATGGCTTCATTATATACATTCATAATATTCATTATGGTTTATATTAAAGAATTAACCAGAAAAAATCAACATTATGGATTTCTATAAATGTCAAATTCTTATTTATCTTTTCTATAATAGCACACATCCCATGTATATATTTGTAATAAGATGCTAGTCCAAATTATTAAAATTACTCATGAAATTGTGCTGTTACCCTGTTGTCTTCATTTTAACAAGTTTAATAAAAATGAACAGAAATCTCCTCTTTAGTCGAAATTTACTTTTAGACTAAGAATAATTCTGAAAGTTATAAAAATGGAATGTATGTTTGAGAGTTTGTGGCTTAAGATCAGTTTTTAATGAATTATATAAAAATTAGCATAATTTTCTGACCTATAGCAAGAGAAATAATTGCTAGTGTTAGCTCTAGGTCCTAAAGAATAAAGAGAGGCAATGAGGAGTGGAGGACTGTGGTGGACAGAAACATATCCTCGATGTCATTTTTAACAAAAGAAAAGCACACACATTTATTTAATATACATTTTGCGTGACACAGGAGACTTCAAAAATGAATACCGCCTCAAAACAGGAAAAACTGTGTATTTATTTTTTTTCTTTTTTGAGACAGAGTCTCACTCTGCTGCTAGGCTGGAGTGCAGTGATAGGATCTCACCTCACTGCAATCTCTGCTTCCCAGGTTCTAGCAATTCTCCTGCCTCAGTCTCCTGAGTAGCTAGGATTACAAGTGCATACCACCATGCCCAGCTGATTTTCGTATTTTTAGTAAAGACAAGGTTTCACCATGTTGGCCAGAATGGTCTCGATCACCTGACCTCATGATCCAGCCATCTTGGCCTCCCAAAGTGCTGGGATTGCAGGCATGAGCCACCATGCATCAGCTGAAACTGTGTATTTTTGTCAACAGTCTTGCGAAAATATGACAAAAGAATATGATGTAATAGTAATAAACTGGGGGCTAACTGAACAAGGCCTATTTGTTAGATTCCTCTTGGTGTCTCTGTGTGACATTCTTTTCCTCCGAGTATAGGACATGAGAGGGTCTTATGGCCTATTTTAGGAGAAGACTAGCTCATTCTTTTAGGGTCTGCCTCAGGGAAGACATTGGAGAAGGTCAGAGTAAACTTGCTTCTGCTATTTCTTCAAATACTAAGGTGCCATATTTTGAGGTACCCTCTCCTGAACCCCATCAGCTTTTCCTTTAAAAATTTTTTTAATTACTATGGATACATAATAGTTGTACATATTAATGGGGTACCTGTGATGTTTTGATACAGGCAAACAATGTGTAATGGTAAAATCAGAGTAAGT